CAATAAAAAGAAATCCAAATTAAAATAAGACTTTTTTTGATGAATCATAAATCATATCAGCAAAATGTTGACCACACCTGCATTGGTGCAGGTTAGGAGCAGAGGTGTTTGTATGTGCTATTGATAGAAACTGGGTACGGCCTTGCTATAGAGCAAGCTTTATCAATTTTTAAAATATGTACTACATTTTAACTTTATAATAAAAATGTCATAGAAAAGACAGTTCCATTTTGATCATTAGAAACAAAAGGAAAGACAGAAAAAAGCCCAGTTTTGTGTTAACTGAGTTTGTCCTTCCTGTGCTGTGCTCTAATTATGAAGCTGCATCTTCTCAGCCCCCTGCTGGCCTTCAGTAAACTGTGCTCCTCTGACTCTCCTCTAATCTAACAGCCCTGCAGTCAACATGTCTGCCATCTCTCTTCTTCCCTCTCTCAATAGGTACATCCTTGAGGACTTTGCTTTCAGGCCTGATATTCCTCTCTCTCAACTCCGAGGTTTTATACCAAGATCACTTTTTTTATAATTCCAGCTACCAGCCGTATATAGGCTCTGAAATCTCTCTCTACCCTTCACACCTATGTTTCAAGTCTTCTCATATTTCAGCAACATTATATGGCTGCCAAACCACCAGCACCATGTTGAGAAACAGCTAGAAAAAAATTTAACCCCCGCCAGGGTACTCAATATTTGCCATTCCTTATTAGTATTTTTGTTTAGTCCTGGGCTCCACCATCTAAGAAAGCTGTGGAAGGACTTGATGAGAGCTTACTAGATAGCCAAGACGACAATCTGAAGGTTAGAGAATTTATGGGTAAAGCAGAAATTGCCTTTTCCAGAGAAAGAGAAAGCTGATAAGACATAACATGGTTCTGAGAATATATGGAAGGTTGTGCCGAAACTGACAAGTCGCTTTTCTTCATCCCTGGTTGGGGGCTGAGGGGGAAAATATTAGTCTAAGTTTTTGGCTACATAGAGCAGTGCCTGTTTAACCCACAATAAGTACCTAAAAAAGACCCAGGAAGACAGAGTAGATCATTTCCCTCCATTCACTGTTACGGTTGGCACGATAATTCGGGCTTTGTCACTAGATAATGTCTACTACCTTGGCGAGGTAAAATACAGACTGAATTATATTCCACAAAATATATGAATAGAAATCATATGTTATATATATTTTATCAGAGTTAAAAATGCTTTACCCAAAGCAAAACATCCGAAAACTGCTGGAAACACACAAATGGGCAGGTTATTAAGATAAAGAGATCGGCCCTGGCCAGTGTGGCTCAGTTGGTTAGAGCATCATCCTGTACACTGAAAGGTTGTAGGTTCGATTCCTGGTTAGGGCGTACCTACCCAGGTAGCAGGTTCGAATGCCTGTTGGGGTGCATACGGGAAGCAACTGAACTGAAGGGTCTCAGGTTTGATCCCCAGTCAAGGGCACGCACCAGGGCTGCAGGTTCTGTCCTCCCAGCCAAGCAGGGCGCATGTGGGAGGCAACCAATCGATGTGCCTTCTCACATTGATGTTTCTCTCTCTCTCTCTCCCCCCC